ATAGCAGCTCACAGTAACAACACTCATCATCTTCATCAACAGCTCACAGTAACAACACTCATCATCTTCATCAACAGCTCACAGTAACAACATTCATCATCTTCAACAGCAGCTCACAGTAACGACACTCATCATCTTCACAAGCAGCTCACAGTAACGACACTTATCTTCACCAACAGCTCAGTTTGGAGCAACGGTCCAGTTCAAAACGTGACACCTACCAAGGTTTTAATAGAAGCCACAGATTTCAGCTTCAGCAGGAGTTGCTGGCTCTGCAATGAAAAAAAAGATCAGCTGTGCCGGATATGATTCATCAGTTGTAGATGTACACAACATTTTGTACAAAGATCTCATGCAGTGAGCAGCTAATGTGGTACGTAGCATTCAGCCGTCTGTATATGTGTCAGGTTGATGGAATTATAGCCATTTTTGTGTTTCATACAGTGAGCTAGCTGTGGCAGCCATTTTAAATTGGTCTGACTCTAAAGCTAATTAGTTGCTGCTTTGCATCCATTCATTATTTCCTTAAAGTTTCATTACAGTGCATCCACTTTGAAGTTGAGTTCAATTATGGGCACAGTTTCAAACAAAGTGCTTGTCCAATCTGTTAGTTGTCAGATTATGTACTGAGGATCAGTCTCATATATTACCACACCAAACTTTAAGTCAACATCTGTAAATATGGCTGAGTTATATGCATTTGATAAGGTTGCTTATGGTGTAAAAATCTCCAGATGTTATTCAGTAGATGTAGGTGTGGTAGAATGGTTGATATTTCAGGCTGATGGTGAGGTCCAGCTCACCAGGGATGTGGCGTGACTGATCTTCTGCAGAATGCCATTATGACCAAGATGCTGCAGGGAGAGCCAAAGAGGCAGTGCTCGCAGCTTCTCCACAGGCTGGCTGGAAGTCAAACCTGCTGCCAGAGACTGACGGGCAAAACACATCAAGTCCAGTGAGGCGTTTAGTTCCAAGGCAGGGCAGAACAAGCAGCTTTCACTTTTTCATCAACAGGATGTGAGCCTACCAGTGCTGGATCTTCATGTCTGTAAAGAGTGACAGCAGTAACAGCGGGCAAGCCAAGCCACTGACCTGATGTCAGCGTCATACTGTCACATCTGGTGGCTGCCTGTGGCAAAACAACAACAGACACACAAATTAACAGACAAATGCAAGAAGAGCAAACGCAGAACAAAATACAGATGCACTAGCTAAAACGCTATGACTATGGAGGTAGTGCTCCGTCACCCTCACGTTGAGCCGTGTCCACCACCTCCAACCCCCACACTCAAAAACTGACAATACAAACATGGCACAACACAGACGTGTTTTCGTCGCCCGTCTGTAAATTCATGGAAGATATGAGCACCCTGCCAAGGCAAGTAAACTAGAGGAAAGACTGAAGTGGGTAGTTCTTCTTGTCTGCTTGTCCGAGGCAGTGCAGTGACAAATCTCAAACACACACATGATGGACTCTAACACATTCAGGAAGAACTCTGACACACACAACAAACTAATTACACACAACTACTGTGTTGTACTGTTTATGACTTCTCTACTCGAACATTATTGCAATCTGCTCAAGTTTGTATACAGTAGTACCTCGCTACTTCACTGTTCCTTTATCATGGACTCACGCTATCACAATTTTTCAAAATAAGATTGGAAATGATACACAGTTGGCTGATTGATGGATGAGCCAAATGATCGGCATATCATTTTTATTTAAAATAAATTATTTTAATTTATTTAGCACCTGCTGCACATTCGTGCAGCCCATACTGCAGGACAAACTTCCTGCTGCATTTGATCAGCTGATCTCCATGCATAGCGCAGAAGTGGGCGTGGCCAAAAACATTTGCAGGTGGTTGAGAGCAGTGGAGGCAGAGAGAGGGAAATCGTTGGTTACGTACAGTAACCCCAGATTCCATGAGTATAGGTGCAGCCCTTTAAGGCTAGTGATAGCCTTAAAGGGCTGCGCCTATACGGAATAGAACATGACATTCTGTCTTTTAGAGTAAGAATTTAGAAACATTGTTTAGAATATTGCAAGGGTGTGGGAAGGGTTTAAAACACCTATATATATATATATATATATATATATATATTAAATACACATACATAAATTAAAATAAACTACCACTTACTACTTGAACTACAACAAACCGGATTCCAAAAAAGTTGGGACACTGAACAAATTGTGAATAAAAACTGAATGCAATGAGGTGGAGATGGCAAATGTCAATATTTTATTCATAATATAACATAGATGACAGATCAAAAGTTTAAACTGAGTAAATGTAACATTTTATAGGAAAAATATGTTGATTCAAAATTTCAGTGTCCACAAATCCCAAAAAAGTTGGGACAAGTAGAAATAAGTGGCAGGAAAAAGGAAATTGAGAATATAACGAACAGCTGGAAGACCAATCAACACTAATTAGGTCAATTGACAACATGATTGGGTATAAAAAGAGCTTCTCAGAGTGTCAGTGTCTCTCAGAATCCAAGATGGTAAGAGGATCACCAATTCCACCATTGTTGTGCAGAAAGATAGTGCAGCAATACCAGAATGGTGTTACCCAGCGTAAAATAGCAAAGACTTTTAAGTTATCATCATTAACCGTGCATAACATCATCAAAAGATTCAGAGAATCTGGAACAATCGCTGTGCGTAAGGGTCAAGGCCGTAAAACTCTACTGGATGCTCGTGATCTCCAGGCCCTTAAATGGCACTGCACCTCAAACAGGAATGCCACTGTCAAGGAAATAATAGAATGGGCTCAGGAATACTTCCAGAAAGCATAGTCAGTGAACACAATCCACCGTTGCCAGCTGAAACTCTACAGTGCAAAGAGGAAGCCATTTTTAAGCAAGCTCCACAAGCTCAGATGTTTGCACTGGGCCAGGGGTCATTTAAAATGGTGTGGCAAAATGGAAGACTGTTCTGTGGTCAGATGAGTCACGATTTGAAGTTCTTTATGGAACACTGGGACGCCATGTCACTTGTACCAGAGAGGACAAGGATAGCCCAAGTTGTTATCAACGCTCCGTTCAGAAGCCTGCATCACTGATGGTATGGGGTTGCATGAGCGCTTGTGGCATGGGCAGCTTGCATGTCTGGAAAGGCACCATTAATGCAGAGAACAAGTTCAGGTTCTAGAACAACATATGCTCCCATCTAGACGTCATCTCTTTCAGGGAAGACCCTGCATTTTTCAACACGATAATGCCAGACCACATTCTGCAGCAATCACAACATCATGGCTATGTAGGAGAAGGATCCGGGTACTGAAATGGCCAGCCTGCAGTCCAGATCTTTCACCTATAGAGAACATTTGGCGCATCATAAAGAGGAAGGTGCGACAAAGAAGGCCCAAGACGATTGAACAGTTAGAGGCCTGTATTAGACATGAATGGGAGAGCATTCCTATTTATAAACTTGAGAAACTGGTCTCCTCTGTCCCCAGACGTCTGTTGAGTGTTGGAAGAAGAAGAGGGGATGCCACACAGTGGTAAAAATGGACTTGTCCCAACTTTTTTGGGATTTGTTGATGCCATGAAATTTGGAAACAACAGATTTTTCCCTTAAAATGATACATTCTCTCAGTTTAAACTTTTGATCTGTGATTTGTGTTCTATTCTGAATAAAATACTAGATGTTGGCACCTCCACATCATTGCATTCAGTTTTTATTCATAATTTGTTTAGTGTCCCAACTTTTTTGGAATCCGGTTTGTAAGTATATATATAGACCACACTTGTCTATAAACTGAGGGTGTACATGTAACAAGATATTTACACAGAAAGATTTTTTAAACTTTTAATTAAATATGTACTGGTAACATACGTCCAGTCAGGTTTTCTCTGAACAGTGCCGGCAACACGGCTGGTTAAAAACAATAAATCCAGCAGCCTGCCAGGAAAGGTCACTGATCGCTGTGCTCTGAGGCCTTTTCATCTCAAGAATGTGAGACACCACGATGGTTTCACTCTAAAATCTTCAATCTTGTTTTTGGTGGTGATGGTTTTGTCTTTCAGTCGGATCTGCACGGTGGAAACACCTCGGCCGTCTGCTCTCTGTGTTCACTCGTCTTCAAGAACGTTCTCAAGTTCAGGTCATCTGCTTTTTCTTTTTTTAATTTATTTTACAACTGGAAGCTTTTGTCGTCCTTTTGCAAAGATTCAGTTCACCACGCTGCCGTCTCCAACGTCTCACCATCGAGTCGTTGTTGCCAAGCTGACGTGCAGCAGCTCTATTTCCTTCGACAGCCAGATCAATCGCCTTTAACTTGAAAGCTGCATCATTGCATTTCTTCGTGTTTTCCATGATGAGGGTCTGTGCACGAAGCGCAA